CTGTGGTGGTACATGTCGTAAACATTGCAAACGAGGTGAACAAGATGCGGAACCTGTAGATGAGTGTGTTGCAACGTGTCTAACGGATTATAGGTGTTGTGTGCCAGGTAAGATTTCACACTTAATAATCTGAGAAAAATGTATACACGTTTGTTTTATTATTAAGAATTTAATTTTATCATGAACTAGGTACACTTCTTATTAAACGTTCTTTTAGTGACATCAAATAGATTAACACGGTCTGGTTTCATTTGAATGATTTAGATCATAATGAGTGCAAAAATATATGCAATGGAGAATGCCGTTCAAAACACTGCGATAGAGAAGAAAAGGAGTCAAATAATTCAATATGCGTGAAAGATTGTGATGATAAAAATGGTCGAATATGCTGTGTACCGGGTAAGTTTTCACCATTCAAAGAACATTCATTTTGGATTTCGTTTTTATTCATGTACGCGGTAATTGTTTAAATATAAAGTTCAAATGTCTGTTTAATAATCTGAAAAATAACATGTGCAACCGCATTAATTGCATCAAATTTCTCTGATTTCTTCAAAAATTGTATGCAAAGTTTATTATTTACAAAATTCGCCTTGATTTCGCATGAAGAAGTAAAAAAAAGTAAGTAATTGGTTTCTTTTTTTGTCGCCTTGTGGTACTGAAATATGATTATACAAATTTATCATATGTATTTAATGACAAATCAGCCATGACGGTAAAATAAACTGTGATGGTATATGTCGTACACATTGTACACGTGGTGAACAGGAAATGAATACGAACAGCACCTGATGTGTGGCTTACCGGTTATCGTGTTCGTATCGTTATCATCTAATTGTAAGTTTAACTCCCATGATCGGCTGCAAATTAGCGGAGAAACGGGAGAATGGCATTCCTGCGTTGGAAAGGTCAAGCTGTCGGTCCCGTGTTAATGCGAGAAAAAGACTCAATTGATTTTGTGCAAAAGGTAGCCGCTTTCCGCGGAGCAACTGATGTATTACTTGTATGTGCACGCTTGAGTTGTGTTGTCTCTTATATCCTAATCTGATATTGAGCTCAAGTCCATTGTCAGATAATGATGTCGGTGAAATAAATGAATAACTATCCTTTTATTTACGATTTATCATGTACAACTAGACTGGCACAGTCGGGGCGATTAATTTATTTTTTGTAGTTAAAATAAAATAAAAAAATTCGCGATATGGAGATGTTAGCGCGAAATCACCCCGACTGATTTATTCTGTAGGAAATTCATTGCTATTAAATATTCATGAATGCCCACAGGTGGGCGCGGAAACACGTGCAAAATGAGGTGAACATGGCAAAGGTCACAGTGCAGACATAACATGGCGGCACGTTGAAATTCGAGTTTGTCGTAGTCGTCGTTTCTAATTCATCACAATTTGTAAAAAAGTAACTCGTACTATTCGTATAATTAAAACAAAATCGGCTGCTACAACCAGCCGACGTCTTCTCGGTCAGAGATCAGTTGAAGAGACGTTGTGATTGGCTTAGATGATTGTCAATTAGAACATTATTAACATAATTACCCGTTGAAAAATCGCCGGGTTCTTGCAGTGCCGATAGAGGGCCATGCAGAATAAACCAGTCGGGGTGATTTCACAGTTACAGGGGATTTTGCGCTCACACCTCCATTTCGCGATTTTTTGTATTTTATTTGAACTACAAAAACAAATTAATCGCCCCGACTGCGCCAGTCCAATGTACAACTACAATTTTGATATTATCTTTATCCAATTGTCTACAGCCACTGTGTTCGTTGTTTTTCAGTTGTCGGGTGACAAGTACAATTTCAGAAATAAACAATATATACGTTTGTTTTATATTCGAAACTTACTTTTATCAGATTACATGTTGTACTTCATGTAAAACTGGTGTGAATATTCTTTATTTTAACGAGATTGACTTTTTGACTTGTGTAGATACAGATGGTGTGAATAATGAGTGTGAAAGTGAGTGTAATGGCCAATGCCGTACAAACAACTGCGATGACGATGAAATCGAGACAACTAATCCAAGCTGCATCCATATTGTGAAGATAACAATGGTCAGATATGCTGTGTAAAAGGTAAGTTTTCACGCAAATTCTAACCAATGAATTT